TGTAAGGGTAAGTCGTGCATAGCTGGAGGTTTTTGGTTTGTGGCAACACATTAGTCTGAGTTAAATTTCTTATAGTCAGTCCTGCAGGCTTGGCTCATTAAAGATGGTAATTAACCCATTGCTAATTGACCTCAGAAGCCAGCCAAGCAGCCTGTGCTTACCAGCCTTGGTAGTGGATTTGGAGGCTATTTTAAGGTTTCTTAATAATCTCAGCAAGACTTCACTTTCCTGTCTGCATCTTATTTGCTCTAAGGACATTCTGTAAAATTAACAAGCTATAAAGTTTGATTGAAGGCTTCAACAAATGTGAGAATAATTGGCTGTATTTAAAGAAACAAGAAAAACAACCTGTAAACTTGAGTTTGTGGGGGAAAACCCATGTGATTTTTCTCTTTTAACTGAGGAGCAGCAGCAAACTGGACTTTTAAGACCAGGAAAAGGGCTTGAGTTGTAGCTTAGTGGTGAGCACTTGCCTAGTATGCATGAAGTACTGGGTTTGATCCTCAGTACCACATGAAAATAAATAAATAAAGATATTTTGTCCATCTACAACTAAAAAAAAAAAAAAAATTAAACAAAAAGACCCAGGGATGGGTGGGGAACCTGCCTGATTCTGATTCCCCCAAACCAAAAGTTCAGCAAAAGAAGTCTTATCAAATGACTAGCTGCTGTTGTACTTATGCTTTCCAAAAGGCCTGTTGAGAAAGAAAGCAGGGACCCAATAAAAATGACATGAGTCCCTCATTCCCTAGAACTTGTATCCAGGGGGGGCCTGGTTCATTTCTCAACCCCTCCTCATTTTCTCCTGGCTATGTCTGGGGTTTTCCTCCCTTCCTGAGGCTGCTGTAAGATAACTCAGTCTTGCAACTCAGTGTGCATCAGTATGTGATACCTGATGCTTAGTTTTTTTCACTCACACACTCCCCCACCTTCCATAAGGCAGAATAGGTCTCCTATTCTGTTTCTCCCTGGGCATTTCTACCCCTGTTGTGTGACTGAAGAGAGTAAAAAAAAAAGTTTTCAGAGAATACCATTCTTATTTTCTTAACTACCTCCCCACCTAAGATACCTCAGACCAGTAGGCCAGTCTTCTCCTCTCAACCTGGAGGTTTCTTTCTTCTTTTCTGAGGACCTATCCTTCCTCTTAGCCGTAGCCCCCACTTACCTATGGTCTGCTTATCTCTCTCTAAGGAACTGAGTCTAGGACAGGATGGTGCCACTATCTCCTCTCCACATCAGACTTTCAGTTTTCCTTTCTGCTTGGTTCTTTGCGTGTGGACCCAACTGGGGTGATAACTGGAGCCTCGAAGCTTGAGGTTTCAGTTCCTGCTGATGGGGCAAGCTGCCTCAGACAGTCTTCAAGGGAACAGAAAGGGACTTTCTTAGGGTGCCTTTCTTTCTGCTATTCCTTAACCAAAAGCCAGTTTTCTTTTCAAAGATGGAATGGTTCCTCTAGAGAGGCCAGGACTGCCACTGGAAAGGTACACTGAGATTCCCAGAGTTTTCTCCAGCACCCCTTTACCAAAGCACCTCTAGCCCCAGTCCACCTCTGCTTGTCACAGACCAAGAGGAATCTGTTCCTGCCCAGCTCTTTTTCTTCTCTCTAGTTTGCTCAAGCTGTGATGTACATATCATTTACATTCTCTGCTTTTCATTGATATAGAATGGAAAAATGTGCTCATGAACAGAATTATTGTGGGAATTATGTCATAGTCTTCATCTGGACTCCTTTCTCTCCAAGCAGAAAACCTAGCTTTAACCCCTCCCCTACAAGGAAGTCCTCCTGAGCCAAGCAAAGACAATCTTGGCGTTTTCTTTTTTTTTTTTTTTTTTTTTTTTTTTTTTTTTTTTGTGTTTTTTTTTTGACAGACCCAATACCTTTATTTTATTTATTGTTTTTATGTGTTGCTGTGGATCGAACCCAGTGCCTCACACATGCAAGGCAAATGCTCTACCAAGTGAGCTACAACCCCTGCTCTAGAGTTTTCTTTATATAGGTAGTTTCAAAGGCTTCCTCCATCATGATATCCCTTTTAGCCATATTAAACTGGTTTTGTTTCTTCTGTTATTGTTGTTTCAAGGCTTTGAGTCGGAGAATATTCCCATAAGCCTTCTATAGAACTCCAGGGCCAAGAGAGCTGTGGTCTTCTCCCCCTCTAGGCTTATTCCTTCTACCTTAAAGCAGAATGTGTTTGCAAACAGGCTAATGGGCAGGAGATAGAAGGCTTCCCAGTGTCCCTAGTCAAACCCTAGTCATTCTGCCTCTCAGCTTCCCTGTCTACCAAATATCATGAGCTCTGCATTTCTCAGTACCATGGTATATTTTATAAACCTAAGGAGACTGTGCACAACCTTGGCTGTTCTCCCTGCTGGTTGAATTGCAAAGGAGAGAGGATGTTCATACAAAAGACTTCTCTCTCCAAACAGGTAGGTACCTTATCTTTATCTCAAGAGACCCTAATTGATCAAAGCCCTTTTGTCAATCAGCCTTGCATGTCCCTGCCCTAGAGGAAGAACAGAAACCCCAAGGAAACCAGCTTCTTTCTGAAAGACATGGAACTGAATACTGGTTGGGGCTGCAGGTGGAGAATTTCTTTTTGCTCATGTGATGGACAATTCCCACTGATCCTCTGAGGATGTGCTGCAGGCAAGCTCAGGATGTCTGCATCCCTGGGTCCCGCTGTGCCCTGGAAATCCCCATCTCCAGGAGTCCCACGTCTGCACTTATGGCCTTTCTCCCTGTTGGCCAGGAATCACTTTCTTCCTGTGCCATTCAGTATACCATCCAACCCATGCCCTAGCAGTAGTGCTCTTGACCACCTGTTCAGGCACACATCCATGGCACACTGTTCTTTCCTGGTTAGGCTTCTGCTGTAGACTCAGCAGAGTGTGCTGCACTTTACCTGTGGGCCTCTTACCATACAGGTGAGCCAAGTATCAGCACTAGTTTCTTTGTCCTCTTCTCAACTGTACACTCCACCTCCTCTCCATTCAGTGGCAGCAGCCTCATGCCAAAAAGGAAAGTCCTGGACCCATTACATAATTCTGCATAGTGCAAGCAGTAGCTAGGGCATAAGGTCATAGGTCAGAGAGGGGTCAGGTGGCTGACACACACTGTAACGACAAGGTGGTTAAAATTAGACCACAGAGAGGAAACTGGCAGCCTTGTGGAAATGCAGAAGTTTCCTCTGCAAGTGAGAGGCTGGGGATGCAGGGAGGCCACTGTGCGTGCTGCCTGCCAGGCTATTACTCATTTCAGCTCTGCTCTTTAATGCCTTTAGCCCCTGCTTCTGTATTTCTAGCCTCCCTCATCACATGTTTGAATACACGCGATAGAGTCATGGTTACCTGCCCTGGCCCAAGACAGGCTTCCTTCCTTTTTCAAGGAAGTAAGCCAGGACTAGGCACCCCCCAGCTCAAGAGGCTCACCTTTTTCTAAGCCTCCTCTGGGAAGCCAAGAACTTTTAGGTCAGCCTCTCAGGTGGATGACAAAGATACTTAGCCTGAGATTTCAGCCTCAACAGGGCCATTGGTGAGGGGTGCCTAGACAGGGGAGAAGATGGCAGAAAACAGTCATAGAGCACACAGGTAACTGTGTGCTGCACTTTACCTGGCCAGCCACATGGTAGAGCAGTGCTCATTTCCTAGAGGACCTGGATTGTGCCTCCTTCATCTATTCCCTGAAGCACCCAGCCAAGTTTCCCTATGCCTATCATCTTTACTATGAGCCTGCTGTGCTCCAGCTTGATCATACAACCCCTGACAATGTGGAATGAAATGTAGTCTTAGCCACCAGAGAGATTGCTGTTCTGAGGAGGGAAGTAATAGTATCCACATTAGCCCTTCAGTGCATAATGCAAATATACCAGTCCCTTTCACATTCAGAAATGAGGAGCCATTAAAGGGGGGACCCAGCATTCAGTGTAGACTGGAGTCACTGATGATAAGGGCTTCCCCCTGTGGCATATCTGGCCCCTGTAGCATGTTTCCGGTGTGGAACAGCCCTTGGCTTCTGAGCTGCACATCAAACAGGGACCTCTCCTCCTTGGTGAGCACCCTGCCAGCAGGTAAGAGGGGACCCCAGAGGCCAGAGAGGAAGAGAAGGGCACCAGTGTGCAAGAATGGAGTGGAGCACAGGCAGGTTGATGGTGAGGGCATGCATATGTATTCTTGCAGAGAGGACCCCAGATTGGGTGACTGTGGATACTTCATCTGAGATGCTGACAAATTTGATGATTGCTCAATATAATAAATTTCATCTCCACTAAATCAGCCCCAGCTTCTCTGACAGCACTGACTGTGTGCTGATGAGGCCACGTGGGAGCAACTGGCATGAACCCTGGAGGGCAGGGCTTTGGTTAAACACTGTCATCTTCTCTGCCTGTAATCTTCCTCCAGACCATGTCCTCTTCCTCTAGACCATGTCCTACTAACCCCAGTTTCTTGAGCATGAGAAGCTCTGAGGTGGGGCAGGAACCTAACAGGGGGATCCCAAAGTGACCTGATTGAAATGAAAAAGCCAAGAAAGCCCTCATAGTTCCTTTTGTACTTGGACTGCGAGTTCTCATGGAGGGAGACTGAAGAGGGGCAATGGTGGGGGGGGGGGCAGAAAGTGGTGTTCTATGAAAGCCAGTGTTCTGTACTTCACTCCTTCCACTGAATACATTCCAAATTTGGAAGAATTTAATTTATTCTTATTTTTATATCAGGACTTTAGTAAAAGAAATGTACAAGCCCCAAGGGCACCTGGCATTGGTCCTGGGGTTGTCTGCTGCCCCAGAGGTGACCTAAGAAGACTGTGGCAACTTCCTTCCTTCAGAAGACCTTGGTCCTTGGCCCTCACTCCCCTCCTTTACACACGCACATGCACGTTCCTGCTCACTAACTCTGCCTTCTTTCCCAGTTACTTTGACATGTGCCCCACGCAACCAACTATGTCTCTCATCCTCATCTTCCCTTTTAGAAAATGCTGTTTTTCTTCTCTCCCTCTTGCCCTGTAGGTTATTGCAGCCGACTGCAAAAGGGTCACAGTACTGAAGTATTTTCTGGAAGCCCTTTGTGGACAAGAAGAGCCTCTGCTGGCATTCAAGGGTGGAAAATATGTGTCAGTGGCACCCGTCCCAGACACCATGGGAAAGGAAATGGGAAGCCAAGAGGGAAAACAACTGGAAGATGAGGTACTATGCGGGAAGAGCCCGCTGTGGCAGAGGGAAGGCTCCCCTCCCCCTGCCCACGACTGCTTCTACTGGGGGTTATTTATAACCTCAGAGCCATGTCTGTGCTGACCATGACAGCAAGCTTCTCAAGAGTGCACTCTGCTGGTGCCCCTTCCTGCCAGTCCACCCCAGTGCCTCCATCTCACTCTGCTACAAGTTCCAGATGCTTCTTTTTAATGTTGCATTGGAGGAGAAGGGAGGAAAAGAAAGAGTTTAATAATGTGCAGCTCTGGAGGCTTAGGAAGGGGAGTGGGGGGGGGTGTTAGGGTTCAGGCTGAGGATCAAGTTTATAGATGTGCATTGCTCAGCGCAGCACAGGACTGAGCTCCAGCCTCTTGCACTCGTACAGGAAGAGCTGACATTGCTGGCCCCATGTGGAAAATCACCCCCTCCCCCAGTTGCCCTCCCTCCCTCCCTCCTGCACATCCTGATGTGATTAAGGAATTCTCCTCTTGTTTGTTTGCCCTTGGTTGTTCCTGTAGCCCTTGCTTCACTCCAGACCTGTGTGTGTGTGTGTGTGTGTGTGTGTGTGTGTGTGTGTGTTAGCCTGTGTAATTGCTTCTGCACACCTCACTGGCATTTGCCCTGCTGTGCATGTATGTGTCTTTCTGGGAATGATTGTTGACTTGTTGACGTGGGTCTGTGTGTGTGCTCCGTTTGTGTGTCAGTTTAAGTGAACACTTGCTGCCAGCTCTCCTGCTGACTGTGGGATTTGAGTAAATGTGAGTGTGTAGCAGTGTCAGAGCATGTGTGCGATTAGCATCACTGCCAGCCTCCCTGCCAGCCTCCCTGCTGTGTGTCTGGGTGTGGGTAACTTTGGGTGTGTGCGCACACACCTCATGTTTGCCTAAAGTTCACTCTTTCCTTCTTTTACCCCACTGTGTTAAAGACAGGGGCACTTAGGTGGGAAGAAACATGGGACTGATAGAAGTGACGGAAGCGATTCTAGCCAGAGGCCAGGTCACACATAGGCCAACACAGTCATTTGGCCCGCAGCAGTCTCAAGCGCCTGGTGGAGAAGGGCGGGGTGCAGGGATGAAATCAGTAACAGGCCAAGGAAGCCAGATGTCAGCTGGAAGCTGTCGTTTGGGATGTGAGCAGTGATAGAGTGGCCACCTTTGGAACAGAGTCTTCAGAGCAGCAGAGTCTTGGACTGACTTCATTAGAATCGCTAGAGAACCCACCCCACCCCTGATGACACAGGGCTCAGCTTCCAGGACAGAGGTGGTTCCAGGGATATAGCTGAGCCCATGATTCCAGACTCACCAGATGAAACCTGGGCAGGAAATAATGGGAAAGAATGAGCTGTCAGCATGGGAGGAGACAGTGGAGTCGCTAAAGCCATTGGGGTGTCCAAGCTGTAGTCCAGCAGAGCAGTGCCACCGCAGCCCAGGACACTGTGTGGGAAGCGTGGGGGAATGGGAGGACACTTCAGTCCAGTATTTCACCCACACTTGAAGGCCAAGGCAGGCAGTGGAGGGTGAGGCCAGCTCTCATCTCACTCCAAACCCAGGGCCTGCTCTCCTCTTACAGGGAGCAGACTAGCTCACTGGTCCCAGGTCTTAGCTATGCCACACACACTCACTCTCTCCTTCTGATGCTTATTGACCAGACAAAGGTTGTAAGTCACGCCAGGCTGCCCACTTCTTCCTTTTCCCACGAGCCTCCTGGGTTCCTTTATGTTAGTGGCCCCTGGGAAACCCTGCTTACCCTAGTCTGTGTAATTTCATAACCCTGCACTTCCTCGTTTGCTATGAGAGCTGAGCAAACCTCAGACAAGCTTCTCTGACCCTCCCTTGACCTCAGTCCAGTTCCCTCCAGGCCCATGATAATCCTGTGCATCCCCAGTCAGAGCAGGCAAGGGCATTATTCCCCCAGGTGCCCAGTGGACATCCTGTTCCACTTGCTCCTATCCAGGTTAACTCTGTGAACAAGGAAGTGAATATGCAGTTTTCCTCCTTCCTGTGGCCAAGGGTTAACAAATGAGTGGTGACTGTGGACAATACCCCAGACCCCTGAGACCTTCTAACACAGTGGCAGTTTTAGCCCCATCCTTAGATCTTTTTTGGAGAGGATTGAACCCAGGGTGCTACATCCCCAGCTCTTTTTAATTTTTTGAGGTGGGGTCTTGCTAAGTTGCTCAGGGCCTCCTTAAATGGCTGAGGCTGGCCTCAAACTCGCAATTCTCCTGCCTCAGCCTCCAAAGTTGCTGGGATTACAGGCTTACACTATACTCCCAGCTCCATCCTCTGATCTTATCTCTCCAAACTGCCAGACTGAGTCACTGAAGCTGATTAGAAGTGTGAGAGATGTTTCTTTAGATATCCTTCATGAACAGAACAAACTCTAGTTCCTTAAGGATGCTACCAAGTCACGCATCTTCCCAGACCCTGCTCCCCCATCACCTAACCACCCACATGCTTTATAACCACCTTCTGTCAAGAGAATCCCAGTTAGAGGAGAGGAGAGAGCAGTCTGTACTGAAGAGGGCCAGGCCTGACACAGCTGAGACAATGAGGGCTGGATTTGGGCCAGCCCCCTAGCCCTTTGGATTGCTCATTATGAGTAGTACAAGCACAGACTTTGGAGCCAAGCTCACTTGAGTTTTTTTGCTTGTTGGTTTTTTGATTTTGTTTTTTTCTCTTGGGATTGAATCCCAGCTTTGCCACGTGCTACCTGTGTGATCTTGAGTAGGTTGTTTAACTCTAAACTTTGGTTTGTTCATTTATAAAATAGGGATGTTAATCACTTCTATTTCACAGGCCATTTTAAGGATTAAATGAGTCAATGCATAAAAAATGCTTATCCCAGTACCTGGCCAGTAAGAAGCACTGAGCAAATGGTAGCTGTCGATGCAGTTACTAGCATTACCATTGTCAGATTTATTGAATCACTCACCCTCTACCCCTCCTAACCCTGACCCTCAAAGGAAGCTCTTTTGGGCAGCTGCATGTTCTCTACTGACCAAGGCCAAAAGTGAGAGAGGGAGGAATAGAGCCGGGACCACCCGGGGAGCAATGACTGCTGAGTGCTGAGGTCGCAAGCAGGGAGTTGCCATCCCTGGGGAAGTCTGGCAGGAGGCTCTTTAAGTTAGCCAGCCACCTTCTGCCCTGCTCAGGTCCTAGAGGGCAGCTGAGCAAGGCCTTGTCATGTGCATTCCTGTAAAAGGGCCCCAGAGGTCCCCACACCACCAGACTGTGGTCTTAAAAAGAAACCAGGGCAAGGTCTGCTGAGCTACAGCATTTACTCCTGATGCTGTCTGAGGCAATGGAGCTTCCTCGCCCAACTCACAGCTATTAACCCAAGTTGATTCCTATGCAGTCACTAGTATGAATTAGATTTAAAGTGGGCAATTTAGCTTTCTCTATCATTTACCCCTTAAATCATTTGTGATTTTCAAAATGAAAATTAGGCCTAAGATGTGCCCTTATGAGTGTGAGTACAAACATGGAAGTGTATATGTGTAATTGTGACTGGGATACCTATGTAAGGAAAGAACCCTTGAGTGTAAAGGGAGCAGTTTGAGTGGAAGTGCAATAGCTTCTCTAAATCCCCCTTTTCCCAAGCAAGGGAAGCACACATGATGGGTCTCTTGATAAGGAATCATCCTGGTCAGCATGGGGTGGGGGATGGCAGTAGTGACAGGGGATCCATTAAGTGTTGTGGACTCATATTCTCTTCTTTCCCCTGGTCTGCCCCACCACCCAAAGGAGGAAGACGTGGTGATTGAAGACTTTGAGGAAGATTCAGAGGCCGAAGGCAGTGGGGGCGAGGATGACATCAGGGAACTTCGAGCCAAGAAGCTGGCTCTAGCCAGGAAGATAGCTGAGCAGCAGCGTCGTCAAGAAAAGATYCAGGTGGGGCCTGCCTGGGGATGGTGGTTCCCAGGATGGTGACTATAAAGGGCCTGAGTAGAGATATGGGCAGGATATAGGGACACGCAAACCTATATCCTGGAATGGTCTTACTGTATATCCACCTCTACCTCCTGTTGTCTTACTCTACCACTACATTATGATAGCATGCCTAGTGGAGTCTCACTCAAGGCAGAAGCAGGGTCTTCTCAGAGAATCTGATAAGCACTCCCTTCCACCCTGCTCTATGAGGCTCTGTCAGTGACCCCAAACATACAGGATCTTTCATGTAGTTTCAGAGCTTTGGAGTTCCTTTGCACCAAACCCAGATACTCATGGAGAGCACCATTTCTTGGGAGAGGTTGCCACAGTCACAGWCTACAATCTGAGTTCGCAGCGTAATGGAAGAACTCTCTGCACCCTCTAGAACTACCTAATCTTCATGCAGGGACTTCCCCACTGTCAGCCCTCTCAGGGACCCAARCCTTCACTTGAGCAAGTTTTTCTCTATGGCTTTCCCAGGTCTGTCCCCTTGCACTGTGTACCCACTTCTCCTTGTCTAGGGTTAAGGGCAGATAGGAAAAAGCCAGTCATGCTCCCTCTTTAAAAACAAGGTGTGGGGCTGAGGTTGTGACTCAGCTGTAGGGCACTTACCTAGTACGTGCAAGGCATAGGTTTGATCCTTAGCACAGTATAAAAATAAATAAATGTCCAACTACATCTTAAAAAAAAAAAAAGTTGTATGCATGGAGAAGCATTAAGCCACTCTGCCTTACCTTTCTAAGGATATTTGTTTCAGCCTTCTTTTCAACTGCCTCTCCCCTGGGTGGTCAGGCAAACCTAACTACAATTCAGGCTCCATCATTTAACTAGCCTTGTCACTTCAGGCAAATTATTTTACTTGTCAGAGTCTGTTTTCTCATGTTCAAAGTGAAAGTGGTAATGGCACCTACCTCTTGGTGTTGCTGTGAAGCCTACATGAGACACTACACCTAAAGTGCTTACCACAAATAACATGCAAGTAGTCACTTTGTCTGCTCTTAGACTGTTCATCCTGCCCCAGGAAGGGAAATGAATAGCAGTTAGGCTCCATCCTTCTTAAGTTATATTCATGTCCCTGCTCCCATCAGAATCAACTGTTCAATACCTCTACCAGACATCTGTGGTGGTGTGGCTAGTCTCAGGAAGCTGAATTGGTGTTTGGCAAATACTCATAGATGACTTTATAGATGATAGCAGGGAAAGCATCACCTCACTCCACCCTGGCTTTGTACCCTTTCTTGGTCCAGTGTCTTATCAAATCCTGTCCTTTCACTCATTTACTTCTTCCTCTTCTCCCTATTCCCATTGCCAGTGCTGTCATAATTGAGGGACTTGCTTGGACTGTAGCAATCAAGACCCCTACATTGCCACAGTCTGTGAAAAGCCCCTCCTAGAGTTGTATAGTACACAGTCTGACGAACAGGCTCTTGTTTCACCCCACTGCCTCCTGTGAATCATTCTCTTTTCCACAAAAGCTTACCCCCACCCCTCAAGAATCATCAGTGTGTTTGTGTGGCCAGTAAAATAGAGTCTTAATTCTTTCCTACGACATTTAAGGCTTTCTAATTTGTTCCCAATCTGTTTTTCCCAACTCTTCTCCCAGTGCCACATCCCCATAAGCCATTATTAGCCATATAACACTGGGCAAAGTAGTTAACTTCTCTGAACCTGTTTCCTCATCTATAAAATGAAAGTGGTACAGCATCTACCTCTCAAGAGTCCCCAGAATGAATGACAGTGTGTGTGAAGTACCTGTCCAGTCACTAAAACTTTCTTGCCTGGACAGTGACATTGACCTCCCTCTCCTCTCACTGTCCCTAGACACACTCTGCCCTTTCCTACTTTCTTGGGTTTTGGTTGATGTTATCCTTCAAACCAGAGTACCCTTTTTCTACTGTTCATTTCCCATTACCTGTTGGAATTCTATTCCTTCTTTAATTCCTCTATCTTCCTTCAAACACCATCTGCCCAGTGAGGCCTTTCCCGATTTCCCCCAGGAAGAATTCATCTCTCTCTGTCCTGTGTTGCTATAGCATGGATTTATACTTCATTCGTGGGAATTATTATCATGTCTCATATTACAGTTGTTTCTGGACTTGTCTCCCTCACTGTACTGTGAGCTCCTTGGAATCGGGGACCATGTCTTCAGCTCAGTTTAGTAAATGGCAATTGAGCATTGGCTATGCTGGTGGCTGGGGGACACAGAAGTGACTGAAAACATAACATTCCAGATCATACCATGTAGTAGAAAAGTCAGTCTTTATAAACAGGTGATTTGATGTGTGAGCCACGGTTATTAAAAAGAGAAATACACTTACCTCATAAGGATAGTCTCATCAACTTAGCGAGGCCCTGTCTCAAAAAATTAAAAGGGGTGGGGATGTAGCTCAGTGGTAGAGCACCCCTGCATTCAATCCTGAGTATTGCAAAAGAGAGAGAGAGAGAGAGAAATACAGGAGGATGTAGAAGCACATGGCTGCTGTGATCTACTGAACACCATGTCCAGATTGGCTTCTCCCTCAACAAGAAGTACTAGAATAATTTGGAGGTCTAACAAGACCTCACTTGCAGTGCTGCTGGATGGCTTTGTCCAGGAGGCCTGTTCTCCCCACCACCTCCTGTAGGAGAGGCTACTCTGTCCCCAATCTTCAAGGCCTGCTATGGGTGTGCAAAGTGTGAGCTGATGTGGCCCCTTTAAGAACAGGCCCCACATGCACCACTGCTGGCGGCCCTGCCTCCTGTCAACCTCCTTCTCCAGCCTCTCAGCCACAGGAGGATTTCTCAGCAGAGGAAAAATTCCCCCTTTCCCTCCCCCCCCTTTAATGCCCGGGGCCCTTCACTTCCATAATTCTTCATTTTCCAGCCTTGAACGTAAGCCAGACACATCTGTCTGGCCATATGCGTGAACCCTGGAGTCTGTGCCGAGGTGGCTGTAAAACAGGGCCGGTGAAGGCCCTTCTGGGAGAGCACGCACATGTGTGTGCCCTCGGGCCATTGGCTTCCTGCCCAGAACCACGGGGCTTCAGCACTCCAAACCCATGTTAACCTTCTCTATTTTTCCTCTTTTTGTTTAATTTAAGGGGGAAAAATCCCAAGGAAAAGGTATAAATTGTCCTGGGAGTGGGGGAGAGGCTCCTAGCTAGAGAGGCCATTATTGTTGGCAGGTACCTAGGTCACACTAATACAATAAGGAAGAAAGGAGCATCGAGTGAATTAAGATCGGAGAGATGGGCTGTAAATTACACTACTCTGAACTCCATCAGTCTCCAGGGTGTTAACCGAGAGGTGTAAGGCAAGTCCCCAACTCCCAGCGCCTTTTACAGATGCAGCAAAACAGGAACCACACATGTTTGGGGAAGGGGATATGAAGATGGGGTTGAACAAAATCCCCCCGGCCCCCAGGATGGCTATAAAGTCCAAGTGAGATCTGGGGCCATAGCCACACCCCCACTTCCCTGCTCCCACCTAGACCCCTGGGCCTCAGCTCATCTGTGGGGCTGGGGGAGGTGAGGCCTGGCCTCCCTCCGTAGCCTAKCCCTCCCTGCTTCCGGCGTTGCATAGAGGCTGGTGAGTAGGGCCGACTGGAGGTCAGAAAAGGGGTGTGGGGAGCTCTCCGGGCCTGTGCAGCTGGAGCTGTAGCACCAAGGCAGGCCCCTGGATGCTGGGGGCGCCAGTCCGCCCACCAGGAGCTTTGAGGCCACACTCTGTGACTCAGTCCAGGCTTTGCCTTTTTGCCTGAGACAGCTCTTTACATTAGGTTCATCCTGCCCACCTTGATGCTTTCCGCCTGAGTTCTTCTCATTCCCTTTGCCATTCTTGGGAGGTGTCCAGAGACCAGAGCAGGGTGCATGGTTTGTCTGGGAAATTGGTCAGAAGTGTTTCATTCCGAACCAGGCCCCCAGGGCCAAACAGTCACTGAAAATCCTCCTCCAGGCATGAGGCGTGGCCTCTTGGCACCTCGTACTGGCCCTGTGAATCCCCTGCCTCCTCCCTGCCTCCATGAAGCACTGCTGTGATTTGTGCTGCTGTCGGGCGGRGTCAGGCTTCCTGAGCAGTTGCAAACATCCCACCTGAAACATAACAGGCTCTTCCTCTGGCCACAGCTATTGTTTCCCTTTGCATTATGGCCACAGTCTTGCTCTGTAGCCAGCAGTGACATGTGTTCTGAAAATAACTTTGCTCTCCTGTCCCCTTCCCGCCCACCCACCCTCCTGAAGATGCGGTCACTCCTTTGTGGTGGCCCCAGGAGTTTTCACTCTAAATATAGCTACAGTCCATTCACACTGCCAGCCAGCTGGGGGGGCCATTATGGAACAATGGGGTATGCACAGAGCCCCCCACACCTGTATGGAAGCTAGCGGAAGGCAGACACTCAGCCCTGGCTCCTAGCTGTCGGAGGCAGGGTGGAGCCAGCACACTACCAGGCCAGGGGCACGTTCACGCCAGGGCAGGAAAGCACATCAGACTGCAGAGCTGGGCACCGCCCAAGCCCACTCCAGCTTCTCCACACAATATGGTGCTGGGCCTCCAGTTTGCTCCCACCTCATTGGTTCCAGCAGCATCCCCAGTGTCCCGCCCTCCCACAGAATGGTCAGGCCATTGGCTGAAACAACCTTAGACTGCTACTTTGAGCAAGCCGAGAGTTATCATGCTTAGCTCTACCACTCTCGCTCCTCAGGAAAGGACAAACTTCTTCATCTTTTTCAGAAAAAGAGTTATCCATTAAAATGCGATAAGTTTATCTTTAAAGAACTCTTCAGCTCTAAGACTGTGTGGGTTAGGTCATTGAGCTCCTATGATACATCAAGCTTTATACTATTTCTGTTTGCTATATTTCTATTGTAGAAGAAACTACAGGGCTGGGGTTCTGGCTCAGTGGCAGAGCACTTGCCTAGCACGTGTGAGGCACTGGGTTCCATCCTTAGCACCACATAAACATAAATAAATAAAATAAAGGTATG